AAATAACATCATTTTGTTCAACATAGCTTTGTTACAATGTTGATTGATGCTATAGGAACTTAACTCTTATTTATATCCATTTGCCTATGGTAAATTGGTTTTAATGCACTGTTTTGCTTAAAGTTGCAGGACCTATGGATGACATTAAGTAAGAGCCTACTGTATTGTAGGGCACAGCAGATGCTAGCATTGTTTCTAATCCCTCACTAATGATCTTTTTATATTTACTACTCAGTGAAAATATTTAAATATATTGAGTTAAATGAAATATGTTAATAAGATTTAAAAATAAAGTAAAATAAAATGATAGTATATCAGTCCTGGTTCTGTTTGTCTTCAGGCCCATTTATCTTCCCTTGTTTCACTCTGCTCTGTTATGCAGAAGGACTGCCCTCTGTGCGGCTGGTTTCCCAGGCTTCCATGAGCTCAGATACAGGAGCACTGATGGGAGGTTGCAGAGTGTGGAAAAGGAGAGACTAGAGTATTTCTCATATTCCTTGTCTGCCCCAGGCAGTGAATTTTAGGCAGTGGCTGGTGCTCCTCTGAGCCTCCAGCTATAACTAGACCAGATTTTCTATGGTTACAGCTTCTACCAGCCTCTGGTAACACCACCACTTCCCTTTATTCCTCCAGCCTGGGTTAACAGAATTGATCATTTACAAAGTGAAAAAAATAATGGAAAAAAATCTCTGTGAAGGAAGAATTTGAAAATATATTTTTAGAATCTGTTATCATTCCCTCAGCAAATAAAAAGGTTAGGCACAAATAGGATCTCAAAAGAAAAGATTAGACTTGAAAAAGTAAACACACTTATTTTGAGATATTGTGGGAAATGAGACATTTCTATACTCACGTTGATTAAGTACTAACCTTCAAGTAAAGATATTTAAGAAGAGGCAAAGCAGCTCATAAAAAGACTATAAAGCAAGTGAGGTTTGGTCTGATGTATGCTATGCCCCACTTGGATAATCCCTGAAATAATTTGGAACCCAGTACTCTTGGATGTCATTTAGGAAAGTGACCTGCTCAAATAACTAATGCTACATGGTTTCAGATATTATCTCTTGTAGTTTACAGTTTATGTTATTTATACATGTAGTTATCTCCTATACAATATATATAATATTGAAAATATTTTAGCATTATTTACTCTGTTCTGTCTACTCCTTATCACCTGTGTTAGTGCTCAGTGATAAATGCTACCACTCTTGCGTATTCTATTTCTATTGAAAAATTAGTTGCATATATTTTGGGCTTTCAGTTTACTCTATAATTGTGGCTTTTGACTCAATATACTTTTTATTATTATGCAGGTCAAATACCACCCCATATCCAGTTCCCTTCTCTTTCAGTGCACCTGGGAGGATTTTATTTTCCCTCCCCTGGAAGCTAGGCAAGGGCATGTGACTAATTCCAATAAATCAATGCAATTTTCATGAAAATATCTACATAAAAAAGGAACTATAAAGTCCCAGTAACTTGGCACATCCATTTTAAGAAGTATTCTATTCAATTCCAGTAAAAAGAAATTATATAGTAGTTACATGCAAATTTTTGACTGTGCAGGAAGTCGGCACCTATTTTGTTCAATGGTCATTGTATTATAGTTTTTGAAATTCATTGTGATGAGATTCTTATTAGCACATCAGACTATAAGCTCTTTGAGGGCAAAGCTAGCCTAGAACCCAAATAATACCAGATACTCAATACATGTTGCTAAATGGATGAGTGAAGGACTGAGTGACTGAATAATCATAGTTTCAATATGATATCTTGTTCAAATCATTCTTGTTTCTCCTTCATGCTCATTTGAACAATTCAAAATTTTAGGCTGTTTCCCTTAAGTGAAAACAAAACAAAACAGTTTTATTCCTCAGCAAGAAGAGCAAAAATATTCTGGCTTTTCAAAGAAGATAATATGAAGTCTAAGAAAGACATGGCAGTGAATTTTACTTTCTCATGGTAGGGTGGTGTGGTCTTGTGGGGAGGGGTATGGAAAAGGCAATGGGGGGAAGGGACATATGTAATACTTTCAACAATAAAGATTTATTAAAAAGCAAAGTAAAATAAATAATAAAATATAATTTATTTATATTTTAAAAAAGACAGTCCAGGAAGTAGAGACATGTTTGAATATAATTTGTGGTCTTGTTCTCTCTGCTTGGGTTTGGTGATGTTCTGGACTGAATATTTACAAACCCCCAAATTCATATTTTGAAGCCCTAATCCCCAAATGTGATGGTAGTTGAAGATGAGACTTTAGGGAAGTAATTAGGTTTAGATGAGGTCATGGGGGAGCCCCATGATGGGATTAGTGCCCCTATAAGAAAAAGAAGAGACATCCGAGCCCCTCTCTCTGCCATGAGAGGATAGGGAGAGAAGGTGACTGTCTATAAGTCAGGAGGAGGGCCCACACCAAGGACCAAATTGACTGGCACCTTGATCTTGGATTTTCCAGCCTCAGGAACTATGAGAAATAAATGCCTGTTTCTTAAGCCACCAATCTGTGCTATTTTGTTAGCCCGAGCTATGGCAGAGGCCAATTTCTCATCTTCTCTACCTCTATTAGAAATGTAATATGATATGCAGGCCACAGTCACCTTTCCTTGCTTTCAGCAACCAGTCTAAGATTCTTCAGCCTCTTTGGATAAATTAAGCAACATGTCCACTCAATGACCAGCCTGGATCAGCAAGTACAGTAATCCACCCTTATCTGTGGGGGATATGTTCCAAGACCCTCAGTGAATGCATGAAACCATGAGTAGTACCAAATCTTATAGGTGCTGTGGTTATACCTATACATACATATGACAAAGTTCAACTTTAAATCAGGCATAGTAAGAGATTAACAACAATAATTAATAATGAAAAAGAACAATTACAACAGTATTCTGTAATAAAAGTTATATTTCAGAGAGGAAGGGAGAGGAAGAGAGCGATAGAAACATCTAATGAGAGAGAATAATTGATCAGCTGCCTCCTGCACACCCCCTACTGGAGATTAAGCCCACAATCCAGGCATATGCCCTGGACCAGAATCAAACCCACAACCCTTCAGTCCATAGGTCAACACTCTATCCACTGAGCCAAGCTGGCTAGGGCGTGTTCTTGGTTTTAAACAATACAAATAAATGAAAACTTTCACTACATTCTAAGAGCTTCTAATTAAAGAGAGAGAGAGAAGGAGAGAGAGAGAGGGAGAGGGGGAGGGAGAGAGAGTTCAATAATTCACGCACAAGTTTAACTTTTTAAAATGCTCTCAATCATATTAAAACCTATAGGATTTTTCCCTCTTGGTAAATAGATTTAATATACTGCCCTTATTTGTATACTAGAGGCCCAATGCACAAAATTTTGTGCACTCAAGGGGGTCCCTCAGCCTGGCTTGTGCCCTCTCACAGACTGGGACCACTCGGGGGATGTCCACCTGCTGGCTTAGGCCTGCTCCCTAGGGGATCGGGCCTAAGCTGGCAGTCAGATATCCCTCTGGCAGTCCAGGAGCCCTCAGGGGATGTCTATTTGCCAGCAGGGAGCAGGCCTAAGCTGCAGTCAGACATCCTTAGCGCTGCTGAGGGAGGGGGAGAGGAAAGAAAAAAAGGGAGAAAAGAAGGGAAAGAAGTGTGCATTCCACACATGCACACTCTGGGCCCAGGAAGAGTCGGCTGCTAAGCAGGACAGGCAGTGGCTGTAAAAACACCCGGCAGGCCGGATAAATGTTTTCGGCGGGCCGCATGTGGCCTGCAGGCCGTAGTTTGAGGACCCCTGATTTAAGAAGTTTGGTTGAAATTTTGGAATCTCACACCAAAATGCTGACTATTAAGTAGTAATCTGTTATATACAATGCCAAATGAAAGTCCGCTATAATAATTCACTAAAGTTTAGTTTTTACATCATTTTGATATATTTACCTCAACCAGTTTAGCCACAAATCATACCTTATGGTTGTCATCTGAAGGCAGTAAAATATTATATACCTTCAGATGACCTCAATCCAGAAATGCTTTTCACTGTTCACATTTTATCTGTCAAATAGTATTTTCTTTAAGAAGTAAATACAAATGCCATTATTGGGAGAAGCTACTGGCCTGGGACAAGTTCTAGCATTTAGTGTTCTGACAGACCTTAATTTGGATATCAGCCAAAGTCAATAAAACTTGTTCATGCAGAACCTTACCTGGTTTTCACCACATCGAGGGGGTGCATCAGGCAAATTTCTACAAGACCTGAAAGATAATAAAGAAAAGTCCAATAAACACTTATGTAAACACTGGTTCTTATTTCCTTGGCCTTATTGATTTCTCAAGCAAGTATGAAGATTCAAATAAGAATCTTGGGACATTGAACATGACAGCTAATAGTATAAGCTAGTGGCAAAAGACAAAAGTATAATATGATTTTATTACAGTGGAAGCAAGATATGTGAGTACTTACTGGTGCTCTGGCAAAAGCAGGGGCTGTAGGTAAAAGAGAATGAAATCAGATGTCCTAAATCCCAATCAAGTAGGCAGGAATTACTGTATCTCAATCCAATCCAATAAATAGATATATGAGGAAGAAAGGGAGGAAAGAAAAAAAGGGAGAAAAGAAGGGAAAGAAGGTCTTTCAGCAACCCCTACACCACCTACTAACATGGCAAATCATGAGCCTCAGTTTCAGGATTCATGAAATAAAGATTGATAGCTTAATAGAGAACATGCACTAAGTGTTTATTGTATGCCAGACATTGTTCTAAGCAGGACTTAGTTTATTTCATTTAATCCCCATAAGAGCTCTTTGTGATAGAAAGTAATCTTATCCCATTTTACAGTAGAGATAATTGAGTCACATTAGATTAATAACTTTTTTTAAAGGTTCTATTGATTAGAGAGAGAGAGAGAGAGAGAGAGAGAGAAAGGGGGAGGGAGCGGGAGAGGGAGAGGGGGAGGGAGAGGGAGAGAGAGAGATTAACTGGCTGCTTCCTGCAGCTCCCTATTGGGGATTGAGTCCTCAACCTGAGCATGTGCCCTGACCAGGAATGGAATATTTGACCTCTTTGATCATGGGACCATGCTCACCAATTAAGCCACACTGGCCAGGGTCACATTGATGGTCATTTAACATACATTATCCCTGATGTGTACAATTATTGAGCAAGGAAACCTTTATATCATATTTACTTTAAGATAAGCAAACTAAAGTAGATAGTGTTAATTGATTTGCCTTGAAGCCACCCAACAGTATTGCAGGTCTTTTCTTAAGGGCAGAGCAATTACCTCTCCTTCATTTGCAAACTAATTCAATTTGAGCTTATCTGTAATTTAGTTCTTCCCCATCATATTTATAGACAGAAATATCTTTTATTCCCTTACTGGTCAGGTTCAAGAAGCTCAAGTACTTGTACCTTCCCAAAGGCTGGCTTTGCTTCCAAAGAAGCTTTAGAAAGTTCTCCCAGCTGTAGTTTACAAGTCATATGTATTGATCTAAAACAACTGTCTTATTTTGGCTAAAACTAATAGGACTCAATATTGATTTCATTCCAGCAAGGAATGCTCCACAGTCATTGGTAACCAAGTCACTGACCCAATCAGAGTCACTGCCTAGGGACTGGAGAAAGGAGCAAAGAACAAGGGCAACAGAATTACTGGGCATGATTACAAGCTTCTGAGACACTGTTTTTGCTTTGTGAATAAGCCTTATTATCCAAGAGTGCAGGGGTGGGTCTCTTCCTTGCAAACAGTAGGGTCTCAATATACTTCCTCTTGTTTGAAAATTCACATTCACCTTGAACCTTAAATGACATAATAAAGCAGATGGATTTAATTGATATTTACAGAACATTTCATTCCAAAGCTAGAGAATATATATTCTCAAGTGTACATGGGACATTCTGAAAGATAGACCACATGTTAGGATACAAAATAAGTCTTTCCAAGTTCAGAAAGATTGAAATAATATCAAGCATCTTCCCGGATCACAGCAGCATGAAACTTCTAGTTGATTTCTAATCAACTACAACAAAAAAACTCAAAAACATTCAAACACATGAAAGGTAAATAGCATGTTATTAAACAATGTATTTAAATTGAGTTACCAATGAGATCAAGGAAGAAATAAAAAACTACCTAGGAACAAACAAAAATGAACACACAACAACCACAAATCTATGGGTTACAACAAAAGCAGTCCTGAGAAGGAAGTTCATAGCATTACAGGCCTACCTCAAGACACAAGAAAAAGCTGAAATAAAGGATCTAACCCTACTACTAATAGAATTTGAAAGAGAACAACAAGCAAAGACTAAACTAGAAGGAAGGAAATAATAAAGATCAGAGTAGAAATAAATGACAGAAACTAAAAAGACAATACAAAAGATCAATGAAACCAAGAGCTTGTTCTTTGAAAAGATAAGCAAGACTGATGAACTTTTAGCCAGGCTCATCAAGAAGCAAAGAGAGAGGACCCAAATATATAAAGTCAGAAATGAAAGAGGCAAAGTAACAACTGACACCAGAGAAATACAAAAGATTGTAAGAAAATGGTATGAAAAATTATATGCAAACAAAATGGACAACCTGGGTGAAATAGACACATACCTGGAAACTCTTCCAAAACTGAACCAGGAAGACCCAGAAAACCTGAAAAGGCTGATTACAACTAATAACATTGTAGCAATAATAATAGTAATAATAATAATAATAATAATAAACTCCCAGCAAAATACTATCAAATATGATCCAGCAATACATGAAAAAGATCATACAACACAATAAAGGTCATATATGACAAACTTACAGTCAAAAATATACTAAATGAGCAAAAACTAAAAGCATTTGTCTTAAGAACAGGATCAAGACAGGGATATACGCTTTCGCCACTCTTATTCAATGTTGTACTAGAAATTCTAGCCACAGCGACCAGACAAGAAGAAGAAATAAGAGGCATCCAAATTGGAAAGGAGGAAATGAAACTCATTATTCACAGATGACATGATATTTTACATAGGAAACCATAAAGACTCCACCAAAAAATTACTAGATTTAATAAATGAATTTGGCAAAGTAGCAGGATACAAAATAAATATACAGAAATCAATGGCATTGTTATACACTAATAATGAACTTTCAGAAAGTGAAACTAAAAAAAAAAATCCAATTTACTATTGCAAAAACAACAAAAAAATAAGATACCTAGGAGTAAACTTAACCACGGAGGTAAAAGACCTGTACTCAGAAAACTATATGACATTGAAAAAAGAAATGGAGGAAGATACAAACAAGTAGAAGCATATACCATGTTCATAGAGTGGAAGAATCAATAGCATTAAAATGTTCAGCCATAACCGGTTTGGCTCAGTGGATGGAGCGTCGACCTGCGGACTGAAAGGTCCCAGGTTCGATTCCGGTCAAGGGCATGTACCTTGGTTGCGGGCACATCCCCAGTAGGAGGTGTGCAGGAGGCGGCTGATCGATGTTTCTCTCTCATCGATGTTTCTAATTCTCTGTCTCTCTCCCTTCCTCTCTGTGAAGAATCAATAAAATACATATATTTAAAAAAAAGTTCATACTACTGAGAGCAATCTATAGATTCAATGCAATTGCTATTAAAATATTATCAGCATATTTCACAGATCTAAAGCAAATATTTCAAAATTGTATATGGAACCAAAAAAGACCTTGAATAGCTGTAGCAATCTCGAGAAAGTTGGAGGGATCATGATACTGGATATAAAACTGTACTACAAAGCCATTTTAATCAAAAGAGTCTGGTACTGGCACAAGAACAGCCATATAGATCAATGGAACAGAACAGAGATCCCAGAAATTTCCCTATGCCAATCATCACAGCAATGCAAATTAAAAGTACAATGAGGTATCACCTCACACCTTTCAGAATGGCTACCATTAATACATCAACAAAAGGCAAGTGCTAGTGAGTCTGTGGAGAAAAGGGAACCCTAGTACACTGCTGGTGGGAATGCAGACAGCTGTTGACACTGTGGAAAATGGTATGGAGTCTCCTCAAAAAATTAAAAATGGCCCTGAAGCTTGACTCAGTGATCCCACTTCTGGAAATATATCCTAAGAATCCTGAAACACCAATCAGAAAGAAAATGTGAACCCCTATGTTCATAGCAGCATTATTTATAATAGCTAAGATCTGGAAACAGACAAATGCCCATCAGTAGATGAGTGGATAAAAAATCTGTGGTACATTTACACAATGGAATACTATATGGCTATATAAAAGAAGGATCTCTTACCCTTTCCTGCAGCATGGATGACCTGGAGACCATTATGCTAAGTGAAATTAGCCAGTCAGAGAAAGACAAATATCACATGATCTCACTTATATGTGGAATCTAATGAACAAAATGAATTGATGAACAAAATAGATCTAGAGGCAAGGATGGATGGAACAGATTATTCTTATTTTGGAGATTTAAAATGCTTAAACCATAAAACAGAAGATCCTTTTTTTTTAACCTATCCCTTTATAACCTGGGCTGTAGAAGAGAGCACTGAGAGTGCACTACTATATTGGTGGGCTGACTGAATGTGGGATATACCCCACACCTGCCTACTCCTAACAGAATCCTAAAGTACAGAAACTGGGTATGAAGTTCATTCCTGTGCCTTCCTTCCTGCTCCACCCCTGTCTTCGCCCCAGAATAATGATGTAATGGGCTTCAGCAGCCTTTTTAACAATAGGAGGAGAGGGTGTGGAAGACAAACTGGGTGCCTGAAAGGTGACTTGAACATAGTTTATTAAAGAACTAGAGGCCCAGTGCATGAATTCATGCATGGGTGGGATCTGACTGGCCCAGCCCCAATCTGGGTGGATCAGGGCCTGGCTGGCTGGGGGGAGGGGCTGCAGGCCATTGGCTGGTGGGCCCTGCCCCTGATTGGGGGAAGTCTGCCTCTCCTCCAAGAAACCAAGAGGGATAAGCAGAGTAATTATTTTTGACAGATGCTTTCATTGGGTAATATTGCCAAGTGTTAGGGGAGTATAAATAAGGGACATTAAACTAGGACTTAGACTTAAGGGAAGGATTTCCATTATAGAAGGTATTTTCACAATGAGTATTAAGACCCAGATGAATAATGTACATTACAGATTATAGTGTACATTCAAAACATGGGCGCATAAGGGAGCATGATCTATTCAGGGAACTTTAAGCAGTTGGACTTGTGGGGAGACCACAGACATGATTAGCCCTGTACATATTTTAATAACTAGAGGCCGG